CATAAAATAACAATTGAACACTGAAAATAAATTGATAATTAATAATAATAATTAAATTTTTTCTTATAAAATTCCTCGAGTATGAAATAACAAATTTTGTCACTTATTTTTTTTTAAATCCTGAAATTGGTAATAGTTGTAGTTCCTTCAAAATTTGAGAAATTTTGAAAAAGCAAAGATTATTTGTTATAAAAATGAGCAAATTTCAAAACATATTTATAATTAATTTCAGGATAAAAAATCCTATCAAGAATTTACATGTGGTTTGAATTTATAATCTTTTCAATTTTAATACCAATAATTTTGAAATATTTTTAATATTACTTTAATTAAAAAAAAAAAAGTATTACTTTAATCAAAATCAAAATTGATTATATATTACTTTAATTTATTATATATTACTTTAATCAAAATCAAAAAGTTTAGCAATTAAGCTTACATATTACCTTCATGCTGAAAGCTAAATGATTGCAAAATTTCAAATTTAACATTTTCTTACACCTATTTTTATTTTAAAATAACTTAAAATTTTTGTTTTGCTAGATTTTTGTAGCTTAATTTAATTAAATAAGCTTTACCGATTGATATATTTCTCGAGAAAAATTTTATAATTTTTGCAATCTGATATAAAAATTTGACTTTAGTGATAAATTTATAATTGATATAAACTGTTATCATATCTCTACTAGCCAAGCCAATAAGTGTTAAATTTTTCATCTAATGTTACCTAAGTTTCAAAAGCAGAATTTTATATTTATATTTTTAGCTTAAATTATATTTTTGTCAAATTAATTTTTCATTTAATTAAGAAAAGTTTATTATTTAAAAAATTCCATTCAGTTTTAATAGTTTCAAATAATTACAGCTATCAGTTTTACGTAATTTATGCATATTTTAACAATTTCAGCAGTTTTATGCTTATATTTGAATTTATAATTTTAATTTTGCGCTCAAATCTTTTTTAGAATAATTGATTCGTGATAATATGAAGTTATTATCAGAACTATATTTGATAACTTTTAAATAACTAATTAATTGATAACTAGTAAAACTGCTATAGAATCCTAATTATTATTGATTAAATCTATTAGATTCAAAACATTTGCTGTTAAACTGAATGAAATTATGAGAAATTTAATATAATTTTTTTTTTTTGCTCATTAAATCATTAAATGATCAATGCCGCATTCTTTAAAAGCATTAATTGATTCAACTGATTTAATCAATATTATCAAATCAGTGTAAATAATTTACCAATATTATCATATCACAATATCAATGTAATTTAAGTAGATTAAGGATATTAAATGTTAAATTATTTTTATAATATCAATATTCTATCAGTTATAATCAGTGTGACATTTTTGTGACAATTTCTCCTTTCCTAAATTCATTTGCATTCAAATGAAAGCACTTTTAATGATTTGTTAATTTATCAATTTTTTTTCTTAAACGCTCTTACGCTGATCACACAGCTAATTGATAAATAACACATTTCAATTGTTTAGCTGATAAGATATATCAAAATGAACTTTTATAAGATTGATCTGAACATCTTAGCTAAATCATTCATTTATTTTCAAATTAATTTTTATTATCATAAACAACCAACAATTTAATTCTATTAATTTCATTCTTTGTCTTTCACAGTTTTTTTTCCTAAAATTTAATCATTTCCCATCCATTAAATCAATTAATCTATTTGATAATAATAAATCAATCTTATGTGCAACAAATAATTCTTTTTTTTATCTCATAAATCGATTTGAAAATTGATTTATTATTATCAGTGTTTTCAATCAGTTACAAAAGTGACAAAAATATTCACAAACATTTCAAATTTTTCCGACTTAAAATTTTCAAAATAATTTTTATCACTTGTGCTTAATTTAAAAAAAAAAAAAAAAAAAAAAAAACTTATTTTCTTACATATTTTATCAATTCATAAAATTTCAAATTTTCATAAGAAGAACTTTTTTTGAAAAAAAGAAAGAAAAGAAGATGTATAACTGTATTATAATGTAATTTCATATCACAAAAATTATCCTATTATAATGAAAAAATCAAATGAAATAATATATCATTGACATATAAATAGCAAACAAAATTAATTATCATATTAAATTAAAATTTGAAATTAGGAAAAAGAGAACAATTCATTTTATTAGTTATGTCACATTACTTTTATACAATTATTTCAATCAATACAAAAGTTTTTTTAGTTTGATTCCATTTCAATCAACATATATAATAGTTTGATTCCATTTCAACATATATCATATTCGATACATTTATTTATTTTATAATTATTATACTTCCCAGAACAATTTTCCCAAAAACTTCAGCTAGAAAATCAAAATTTATTACTTTTTCTAAAATATTTGAGCTATTATACAAGATAAACAATATTACATTCCAAATATTCTAAATTAAATAATACCAAATAGATATCCTTAAACATGCTAGAATTCCACATGCTAGAATAAATTTAAATAAAGCATAACCATTTAAATATCACCAAAAAAAAAAGTATAGTAATTTAAGTAGACAAATTTTGAAAAAAAAAAAAAAAAAAAAAGGTATGACATATATTAGTAGTTAAATTTGAAAGGTAGCAATAATAACAATAACAGTAACAATATTTACCAAATTCTTTGAAACTTTAAAAGAAAATTAGTTTTTCTTAAAAAAGAAAAATATTTTTCAATTTCATTAATTTCATCATTTTTAAATGAATATTTTTGTTTCGCTGATTTTTTTAACTAATCTAATTTAGGTACTAAATAGTTTAATTGATTCTTTTATTCTATATTATATTGCAACTAAAAAATAAAAATTATTTCATAATTTAATTTAATCACTGAGTTATTCAATTTATTATCATCAAAACAGATAGCAAACATGATTTTTTTTTGTAATTTTAGGTTTTTTTTTTTCTTTCCTATCATATTTTTTTGTTCTCATTTTTTTTTTTTTTTTTTTGTTAAGCAAGAAAAAAAGACATAAAAATTCAATGAAATACCATACGGAAATTACATTTAAAAAAAAATTATTGATCATAAAACTTTCAATAGCCTTTGCAATTTTAACTTTTTATTTTGTTTTTGTCCTTTTATCTCTTTCTTTTCTGGTCGTTTTAATTCTAGAAAAATTCATTCAGAAATTTATTCAGCCCTCATCGCTCCGCTACCACCCCCGCGCCTACAGGCCACGCCTTCGTCGCCCCGCCCCTAATACGCTTGCTTGACCACGCCCTTTTCGCGCCCCTGCCACGCCCGCATGGCCACGCCCCTTTTCGTCCGCCCCCGCCATTACTGCACCTCTTATCACTGTACCTCTTATCACTGTACCTCTTATCACCGTACCTCTTATCACTGTACCTCTTATCACTGCACCTCTTATCACTGTACCTCTTATCACCACCTCTTATCACTGTACCTCTTATCACTGCATCTTATCACTGTACCTCTTATCACTGCACCTCTTATCACTGTACCTCTTATCACTGCACCTCTTATCACTGCACCTCTTATCACTGTACCTCTTATCACTGCACCTCTTATCACTGTACCTCTTATCACTGCACCTCTTATCACTGTTTCTTTTATCACTGCACCTCTTATCACTGTACCTTTTATCACTGCACCTCTTATCACTGTACCTCTTATCCTGTACCTCTTAATACTGTACCTCTTATCCTGTACCTCTTGGTACCGTACCTTCTGGTACCGTACCTCTTGTTACCTTTGGTACCGTACCTCTTGTACCGTATTATGGTACCGTACTTTTTTGTACCTCTTATTACCGTACCTTTTATCACCGTACCTCTTGGTACCGTACCTCTTGGTACCGTACCTTTGGTACCGTACCTCTTGTTACCGCACCTTTGGTACCGTACCTCTTGGTACCGTATTTATCTGTACCTTTGGTACCGTACCTCTATCACTGTACCTCTTGGTACCGTACTTTTGTTATTGTACCTCTTGTTACCGTACCTTTGGTACCGTACCTCTTGGTACCGCCTTTTATCACCGTACCTCTTGGTACCGTATTTTGTTATTGTATCTTTTGGTACCGTATCTTTTGTTGATGTACCTCTTGTTACCGTACTTTTTATCACTGTATCTCTTGGTACCGTACCTCTTATCACTGTACCTGGTACCGTACTTTTGTTATGTACCTCTTGTTACCGTACCTCTTGGTACCGAACCTCTTGTTACCGCACCTTTTGGTACCGTACCTCTTGGTACCGTACCTTTTATCACCGTACCTCTTGTAACCGTACTTTTTATCACTGTACCTCTTGGTACCGTACTTTTGTTATTGTACCTCTTGGTACCGTATCTTTTATTACTGTACCTCTTATCACTGTACCTCTTGGTACCGTACTTTTTGTTATGTACCTCTTGTTACCGTACCTAAGTACCGTACCTCTTGGTACCGTACCTTTTTCAGTACCTCTTGGTACCGTACTTTTGTTATTGTACCTCTTGTTACCGTACCTTTTGGTACCGTACCTCTTGGTACCGTACTTTTATCACCGTACCTCTTGGTACCGTACCTTTTTATCACCGTACCTCTTGGTACCGTAATTTTGTTATTGTATCTTTTAGTACCGTATCTTTTGTTAGTACCTCTTGTTACACCCATTCTACTTCTTGGTACCGTACTTGTTGTTGTACCTCGTGGTACCGTATCTTTTATTACTGTACCTCTTGGTACCGTACCTCTTGTTACCGTACTTTTTATCACTGTACTCTTGGTACCGTACCTCTTATCACTGTACCTCTTCGTACCGTACTTTTTCTTATTGTACCTCTTGTTACCGTACCTCTTGGTACCGTACTTTTGTTATTGTACCTTGTGGTACCGTATCTTTTATTACTGTACCTCTTGGTACCGTACCTTTTATCACCGTACCTCTTGGTACCGTAATTTTGTTATTGTATCTTTTGGTACCGTATCTTTTGTTAATGTACCTCTTGCTACCGTACTTCTTGTTACCGTACTTTTATCACTGTATCTCTTGGTACCGTACCTCTTATCACTGTACCTCTTGGTACCGTACTTTGTTGTGTACCTCTTGTTACCGTACCTCTTAGTACCGAACCTCTTGTTACCGCGCCTTTTGGTACCATATCTTTTGTTAAAACGGTGATAGGAGTACGGTACCAAAATAGATAAAAAGGCGATAACAAAGGTACACCAAGAGGTACAGTGATAAAGATACGGTACCACGGTATACGGTGATAAGGTACGGTACCAAGAGGTACGGTATTAACAAAGTACGGTATAAATACGGTATGATAAAGGTACATTACCCAAGGTACAGTACCAAAGGTACGGTATAAAGACACGGTGGTAACAAATTACAATAACAAAGTACGGTACCAAGAGGTGCAGTGTAAGAGGTACAAGAGAAGATGGGCAAAGGCGGTATAAGTACAGTATAAGGTGGGTGAACAAAAGATTGCAGTATAGGTGCGGGAGGCGGTACAGGTACTGATATAAAAGGTACAGTATAAGAGGTGATAAGAGGTACGGTAACAAAGAATAACAAGTACGGTACCATAAGGTACTGATAAGAGTGGTAATAAGAGGTACAGTGATAAGAGGTACAGTACAAGAGGTTGATGATAAAGGTACAGTGATAAGAGGTACAGTGATAAGAGGTGCAGTGATAAGAGGTACAGTGATAAGAGGTGCAGTGATACAGTGATAAGAGGTACAGTGATAAGAGGTGCAGTAATGGCGGGGGCGGGACGAAAGGGCGTGGCCATGCGGGCGTGGCGGAGGCGGGGCGAAAGGGCGTGGTCAAGCAAGCGTAGGGGCGGGGCGACGACGTGGCCTGTAGGCGCGGGGGTGGTAGCGGAGCGATGAGGGCTGAATAAATTTCTGAATGAATTTTTCTAGAATTAAAACGACCAGAAAAGAAAGATAAAAGGACAAAAACAAAATAAAAAGTTAAAATTGCAAAGGCTATTGAAAGTTTTATGATCAATAATTTTTTTTTAAATGAATTTCCGTATGGTATTTCATTGAATTTTTATGTCTTTTTTTCTTGCTTAACAAAAAAAAAAAAAAAAAAAATGAGAACAAAAATATATAGGAAAGAAAAAAAAAAAACCTAAAATTACAAAAAAAAAAATCATGTTTGCTATCTGTTTTGATGATAATAAATTGAATAACTCAGTGATTAAATTAAATTATGAAATAATTTTTTATTTTTTAGTTGCAATATAATATAGAATAAAAGAATCAATTAAACTATTTAGTACCTAAATTAGATTAGTTAAAAAAATCAGCGAAACAAAAATATTCATTTAAAAATGATGAAATTAATGAAATTGAAAAAATATTTTTTCTTTTTAGAAAAACTAATTTTCTTTTAAAGTTTCAAAGAATTTGGTAAATATTGTTACTGTTATTGTTATTATTGCTACCTTTCAAATTTAACTACTAATATATGTCATACCTTTTTTTTCTTTTTTTTTTCAAAATTTGTCTACTTAATTATACTTTTTTTTTTGGTGATATTTAAATGGTTATGCTTTATTTAAATTTATTCTAGCATGTGGAATTCTAGCATGTTTAAGGACATCTATTTGCTAATATTTAATTTAGAATATTTGGAATGTAATATTGTTTATCTTGCATTGTATAATAGCTCAAATATTTTAGAAAAAGTAATAAAGTAAAAAATTAGTAAAAAAAAAAAAAAAATTATGTTACTTATAAATTTAGTCATTGCTATTTTCAATTATTAGCAATATTTGATTCTTGAATTTGCAATTCAATTTTAAGTAATCGAATATTAGCTCATATTTCAGATAATATATGCTAATCAATGGCAATCAATGCAACTAATAAATGATCAAAAAGCAATTCATTTTCGTCCTTTTTTTTCTTTACATTTAGGAAAATTATCATTGAATAATAATCAGTTCAAAAAAAAAAAGCATTGATCATAGCTAATTGATCAAAATAACTGCAATCATTTAGAATCAAATCACGATCATTTTAGACAAATCAAAAAATGATTGTTTTAACTATCAATAAAGCTAATAACAATTTTGTGGACAAATGTTCAATTATTTGACAAAATTTTCTTTGTCGCAAAAAAAAAAAAAAAAAAAAACTAATCATAAAATAACAATTGAACACTGAAAATAAATTGATAATTAATAATAATAATTAAATTTTTTCTTATAAAATTCCTCGAGTATGAAATAACAAATTTTGTCACTTATTTTTTTTTAAATCCTGAAATTGGTAATAGTTGTAGTTCCTTCAAAATTTGAGAAATTTTGAAAAAGCAAAGATTATTTGTTATAAAAATGAGCAAATTTCAAAACATATTTATAATTAATTTCAGGATAAAAAATCCTATCAAGAATTTACATGTGGTTTGAATTTATAATCTTTTCAATTTTAATACCAATAATTTTGAAATAGTTTTTAATATTACTTTAATTAAAAAAAAATTTTATTAAGTATTACTTTAATCAAAAAAAAAATTGATTATATATTACTTTAATTTATTATATATTACTTTAATCAAAATCAAAAAGTTTAGCAATTAAGCTTACATATTACCTTCATGCTGAAAGCTAAATGATTGCAAAATTTCAAATTTAACATTTTCTTACACCTATTTTTATTTTAAAATAACTTAAAATTTTTGTTTTGCTAGATTTTGTAGCTTAATTTAATTAAATAAGCTTTACCGATTGATATATTTCTCGAGAAAAATTTTTATAATTTTTGCAATCTGATATAAAAATTTGACTTTAGTGATAAATTTATAATTGATATAAACTGTTATCATATCTCTACTAGCCAAGCCAATAAGTGTTAAATTTTTCATCTAATGTTACCTAAGTTTCAAAAGCAGAATTTTATATTTATATTTTTAGCTTAAATTATATTTTTGTCAAATTAATTTTTCATTTAATTAAGAAAAGTTTATTATTTAAAAAAATTCCATTCAGTTTTAATAGTTTCAAATAATTACAGCTATCAGTTTTACGTAATTTATGCATATTTTAACAATTTCAGCAGTTTTATGCTTATATTTGAATTTATAATTTTAATTTTGCGCTCAAATCTTTTTTAGAATAATTGATTCGTGATAATATGAAGTTATTATCAGAACTATATTTGATAACTTTTAAAAATAACTAATTAATTGATAACTAGTAAAACTGCTATAGAATCCTAATTATTATTGATTAAATCTATTAGATTCAAAACATTTGCTGTTAAACTGAATGAAATTATGAGAAATTTAATATAATTTTTTTTTTTTTTGCTCATTAAATCATTAAATGATCAATGCCGCATTCTTTAAAAGCATTAATTGATTCAACTGATTTAATCAATATTATCAAATCAGTGTAAATAATTTACCAATATTATCATATCACAATATCAATGTAATTTAAGTAGATTAAGGATATTAAATGTTAAATTATTTTTATAATATCAATATTCTATCAGTTATAATCAGTGTGACATTTTTGTGACAATTTCTCCTTTCCTAAATTCATTTGCATTCAAATGAAAGCACTTTTAATGATTTGTTAATTTATCAATTTTTTTCTTAAACGCTCTTACGCTGATCACACAGCTAATTGATAAATAACACATTTCAATTGTTTAGCTGATAAGATATATCAAAATGAACTTTTATAAGATTGATCTGAACATCTTAGCTAAATCATTCATTTATTTTCAAATTAATTTTTATTATCATAAACAACCAACAATTTAATTCTATTAATTTCATTCTTTGTCTTTCACAGTTTTTTTCCTAAAATTTAATCATTTCCCATCCATTAAATCAATTAATCTATTTGATAATAATAAATCAATCTTATGTGCAACAAATAATTCTTTTTTTTTTTTATCTCATAAATCGATTTGAAAATTGATTTATTATTATCAGTGTGTTTCAATCAGTTACAAAAGTGACAAAAAATATTCACAAACATTTCAAATTTTTCCGACTTAAAATTTTCAAAATAATTTTTTATCACTTGTGCTTAATTTAAAAAAAAAAAAAAAAAAAAAAAAAAACTTATTTTCTTACATATTTTATCAATTCATAAAATTTCAAATTTTCATAAGAACTTTTTTTTTGAAAAAGAAAGAAAAAGAAGATGTATAACTGTATTATAATGTAATTTCATATCACAAAAATTATCCTATTATAATGAAAAAATCAAATGAAATAATATATCATTGACATATAAATAGCAAACAAAATTAATTATCATATTAAATTAAAATTTGAAATTAGGAAAAGAGAACAATTCATTTTATTAGTTATGTCACATTACTTTTATACAATTATTTCAATCAATACAAAAGTTTTTTTTTTTAGTTTGATTCCATTTCAATCAACATATATAATAGTTTGATTCCATTTCAACATATATCATATTCGATACATTTATTTATTTTATAATTATTATACTTCCCAGAACAATTTTCCCAAAAAAACTTCAGCTAGAAAATCAAAATTTATTACTTTTTCTAAAATATTTGAGCTATTATACAAGATAAACAATATTACATTCCAAATATTCTAAATTAAATAATACCAAATAGATATCCTTAAACATGCTAGAATTCCACATGCTAGAATAAATTTAAATAAAGCATAACCATTTAAATATCACCAAAAAAAAAAAGTATAGTAATTTAAGTAGACAAATTTTGAAAAAAAAAAAAGAAAAAAAAAGGTATGACATATATTAGTAGTTAAATTTGAAAGGTAGCAATAATAACAATAACAGTAACAATATTTACCAAATTCTTTGAAACTTTAAAAGAAAATTAGTTTTTCTTAAAAATATTTTTCAATTTCATTAATTTCATCATTTTTAAATGAATATTTTTGTTTCGCTGATTTTTTTAACTAATCTAATTTAGGTACTAAATAGTTTAATTGATTCTTTTATTCTATATTATATTGCAACTAAAAATAAAAAATTATTTCATAATTTAATTTAATCACTGAGTTATTCAATTTATTATCATCAAAACAGATAGCAAACATGATTTTTTTTGTAATTTTAGGTTTTCTTTTTTCTTTCCTATCATATTTTTTTGTTCTCATTTTTTTTTTTTTTTTTTTGTTAAGCAAGAAAAAAAGACATAAAAATTCAATGAAATACCATACGGAAATTACATTTAAAAAAAAATTATTGATCATAAAACTTTCAATAGCCTTTGCAATTTTAACTTTTTATTTTGTTTTTGTCCTTTTATCTCTTTCTTTTCTGGTCGTTTTAATTCTAGAAAAATTCATTCA